ATTATATAGTATTTAGTAACAATGACATTTGTGAGCATATTTAACAATAGGTAAAAATTAATTATTCATTTATTCATAATAAATATAATATATTATAATACAATATAAAAAATATATAAAAAAAACGGTAATATCAATTATTAAGTAGAAACTAGTTTAATAGAGACATGATTTTGAAAAGAATTGTAAGTAGTTGAACAGAAAGGATCAATTTTATAAATATTTGCAATGGTCATTATTCTAGATAATGGAGTGTTGGTAGCATAAATTATTAGTTTGAGTTTTTCAATACAATAGGTTATTTGATCTTGTGCTAGTTAAAAAAGTTTTGAATGTTAGTCGATACAAATCGATGATGATTCGTGTGTGTGGTGCCATGGTTAATATTGGTTTCTAGTGTTTACCAAATAATTCCGTTTAGACTCTATAGAACGGATAATCAATTAGATTGTGTTTGATAAGAAATGTACAACTAAACAGACGGCAGGAAAACAGTTTTCCCAGTAGGTTTTTTTCAAATCCCCTTCCCCCCCCCAAAAAAAAAGTTTTTTCTCAATTCGATTCACGTGACCACATTATATTATAATTATTGACAACATTTTACTGTGCAAGAATATATGTCGGTTAGTACTATTAGGTAACTATTTAAGGATTAGTCATTACTGAACTTAATAATGCAGCCTACACTATATGTATTATCGTAAGAGTTTTTAAGAGATTGATGCATCGAAATTGTGTTGGCTGACTCGAAATAATCTTGACACCACGCCATTGAAGTATCAAATATTTCGAAAAACTATTCTAATAGTTTTTTCCATAATTGAATAATTTTCAATCTATTGATAGTAACTATATATATGCGGTTGTGTCATTCACTAGATATATTGACAACAATGTGGAAAATTAAAAAAAATAAATACATATTTAAATTAAAAAATTAAATTAGGTTAACTTTATATATTATGTATATAAAATCGGAGTAGCCGGTTTGGAAATGGAAATTGTTTTAAAATTTAATTAGCTTTTAGTCAGTGATAATGACAGCTTAACAATTATTTTAAGCGATACAAAATTATGACAGTGAGACAGTTTTTTTTTTATTTAAGACATTGGGAATAATAAATTTGTATTCAGTTGTAAAGTTCGCCGGTGGGTTATTCCAGTAGTTTGACCAAAAGTCGATTGTGACGATGTAAGGTTGAGGTAAAATCGGTCCAAGGTAATTGAGCAAATGCGGGTAAAATTGTGTTAGAGGTAAATTAACACTTTTTTGATTACTCAATTATATGCATTTTAATAAAATTATTCAATATATAAACTTCAAACTAGTTATATTCCGATTTAGAATATCCGTGGTATAATTTAAAAATATTAATCCACTTTCATAATAATAATATATTTTTGTGAAAATAATGTATAAGATAGTAAAAACACGATAAGAGCATATCATATCAGAGCCACCATCTTGCAGCTATTCTGCGTTTTCTCCCCCAAGACATGTATACTGAAGAAGACCAACGCAATTGCGATACTTTTCTTGTCATATACACTTGGAGCATTTACAATAAACCAGGGAAAGTAGATGTGCAATGGATATTCGTTATAAAAAAGGCAGACCTGATTTTTGTAGGAATATAATGCAATGACTCTGCAGTTAACCTTATTTTTGGATTTTAAAATGACAACCTATGTTAAAAATTCTATGAATAGACGGAATATTAGTTTAAATCAATTTTAGTGATGACATTGTTGATTTCTGTCAACCTTATATCAACTACCTAGGTGTAATAATCTTTTTGACGATTTTTTATATATTCTATTTATATTTTTTGTATCATATATCTGGCATTTCAAATAACTGGTTTTGTATAATTTGACAATACTGAAAATTAATTTGTGCCACCTTTCTACGTTGTTGATGCATATTGTGTTTGTATATATGATGTTAGTGATAAACATTTATCGTTCTCAATCATAATAAAGATAAACATAATGATTTCGGAATTTTACAAAGTTAGAATTGTTTTTAATATTATAAATATATTATTACAATCTGTACACAATTTTTAGAATTAGTTGGGTACTTCAAAGTTATATGGTATTTTCTATTATTTAATAACTCTTGAGTTAAGAAAGATCTACAACAGCTGGAGGAATGTTGCTAATCAAGCACTTATAATAAATACATTTATTTTGAAAAAAAAAAAAAAACATAATTATTATTCAAAAACTTCCAAAAAATGACTGAATATCGCATATACCTAATTATCCCACGATAAAATGATCGCGACCATGCACGAAGAAATTACTCCATCAAAATGACACGATACCTTCATATTATAATGGTTTGCATATAGTTATTTTCATTCTTCTTAAATAAGAAAATGTTTAGATTCAGGTTCTTGTTTTATACATTAACTAAACCTTAAGGTACCGATACATCGAATGATGATGATTATGATAAGTTCATTACAAGTGGGTGAATCTATATATTATTCATCTAGGCTGTCGTGCGTCAAGACTCAAGAAAAACCATATTTTGTGGTTTTTAATATATTAAAATGTGGGGGAGGGAAATATGTCTTTCTCTTATCTTCCGCAATGGGCACTCTTGACGATGAATGTAAAAGTTAACAACAACTTTCATAAGTTTTCCCGAAGTTATACGATTTTTTTTTGTTTGTAGGACGTATTTACGAATTGTCTACCTACTTTACTCGTATTATTATACGATTAGGTACGATAATTAAATATTGCACTGTTTGTCGGAAACAATAAAAAATGAGAAAAAAATCGACAATTGCGATGCAAAATAGATAAACAGTTTGATTTAGATTGTATAATACGATGATCGTTTTATTATTTGCGTATATTATTATAATACGAACGAAAAAACAAAACCAGTCAAATTAAAAATTTAAATTCTGCGCAAAAAAAAACAACGAAATTAATAAATTATTATTCGTATACATTATTCTAAACTGGTCTTGGCCTGCAGGGGTATTGCAACACCGAGTGCATTTTTTACGTGTATGCATATTATTGTGCAAGCATATACCTACACTAATCATTATTATATTATTACTATTTAGAATAATATTAAACGATGTTTTGACGGTGAACGTATACACATGATGTACACGACTCGTAGTATTATACTACAATACTTGTTGACCTACACCTATCTAGTACCTATAACAACTATTATTGTGTAGTCACGTCATCTTTTAATAACGAATATAATATTGTATGGAATATGATGTATACGATTAGTGTAGCCAGTGTAGGTATCCGAAAAGAACGAACGAAGCTAAAACACGATAAAACTGAGAGTAAAATCATATCATAATATTTTGTTTCATATAATATAATTAATTCGTTTTTAGAGGACGATATAACTGCGTTTATCGTCCAACTAAAACTTAGCACAATTACGTTACTATATGTATTATTATAAGAACACAAATCGTGGCGTTTAGGTTAAAACCAGTGTCTTATTTAAGATTTTTGCCAAGAGGAGTGGTAGTAAATTTAGAATTTGTGTCATATTGTGTAATGCGTACCCAGGCTAAAAAACAAAATACAATCGTATGTATTTTTGTAAGTGAATTTATGATTCAATTTATGTTAAAATTATCGTTGAAATCAAATAACTTGATATACCTATATATAGGTAAGTAATTTTTCCAATTCATTTAATATTAGTATTTAGGTAAGTACCTACTAATCTAACGTTGTACATTATTTCGGGTATATTGTTTCGTTTTAAACAAAAAAAAATGTGTACATTCAACGTTTTTTGATATATTATTAACTATTTGTGTTAATACACAACGTTATTGATTTTTTCGACAAAAAATTAAAGAAATTTAAATTTAAAAATAGATATTAGCCATAACAATAATAGATATAAATAAGAGTCAAGGGGTTAAAATTGTTCACTGGTTGAAAAATAGAGTTTAAATACATCAAATTACACTATTGAAAAAATAAAATATTAATTATAGAAATAACTACGTTATTATTTTTTGAAAGTATTTTAAAATCTACAAGTTATGGCTATACACACAAAAAAAAAGAAAAATATTAACATTTAATTTTTTATATATTTTTTTTTCCCATCGAATTTCTTCTTTATAAACAACATAAACGCATTACCTTCGTGGTTGGACATTTATTTTATTGAAAATTCGATCCACAGCGGACATGTACCAGCGTGTGTCGAACATGTAACAACCGGACAGAGAGGTCCGTGTACTTACCTGTATCTCGTACTGTAGGGTGTCCGAAAAAAAACTATTAATAAAAAGAGACGAGAAAGAATGCCACAGGTAAAAGAAATCCATATTATGATTTTTTTTTTTTGATTTTTCGTAAATCATAGAAATATTATACATTTAGTAAAATTTACGATTTGTTTTTGTGTAGCACACCTAAAATATTATTTAAGTGATAAAATAAGCGTAAGTAAATAGGAGAGTAAGTTAATAAATAAAGTAAGAACTAATATTAAGTGACTGCTATGTTTAGTTCTGATTATTATCCAAAATAAATATCATAAAGCATAGGAAGTAAATATTGTGTAATAATTGTATGCCATTGTATTGCGTCTTATATGACGAGTATTAACGGTCATTGAAATGTTTAAAATGACTAGTGCTAAATCTAAATGCTGCAAATTTGCATGGTGAACATTTATTTACATACGCATTCTAATGAAACTAAACGTTTTAACCAGAGATTTATTTCATTGTTAACATTAAAACAATCATTACTATACAAGTATAAAAACTGCGCACTGTTTTATAGATTGAAATATAAATGATATCAAATGATCAAAGATCAACTAATAATAATTTATTGTACTTCAATCGCACTTATCTGATAAAAATTGACTGCAACGATACACTCTGCGTTTAAAATTTAGGAAACTGAGTGTGTTATCACAATGTTCTATTATAATAAAAGATAAATTATAAACATGTGTCACTTTTTTTAAATCTGCAATTTTATCCGTCTTACTAACCTACGACATAACAAAATTGTGTTGCTTAGTATATACATTTTAGAGTTTAAATTAAAATTGAATTTTAATCACGAAAAAAAAAAATTCAACCTTTTTAAAAATGAAAAATCTAAAAAAGCTACGTACAGTCGTATAGCCCTCGAAAATATATTTTCTTTACATTTCGTTATTTATGGTTAAACTCCGGTTTCAACCTAAACGCCAAAATTTACGTCGTATCACATAATTAATAATGGACAATAATTTAGAGCTAATTTGTTAATAGAAAGTCTACGTTTTATTTTTCTTTCTTACTTCTAATGTATGCATTATCTAAATGTAAAAAATTAAGTAATGATGGTGTATAAAAACTGTAAGCGTTTTTCTATGTATTTTACAGATAACGAAAAAAAATCATAAAACAATCTAACATGAATAATGTTAGGTATATTCTATATAACTTTTATTTCTTTAATCAAATCGAATTGACGATGAGAACAAATAGTGGGAATCATTACATTATATTTCGAACAGGACCGGTCGGTGAGCAGTACACGAATTTTTAAGCGAAAGGATTGGTATGTCTTAAGTCGTATCAACGACGTCTAATAAAACCTAAATTACCTTGAAGATTTATTGTTTTAACGTAAGTAGCCACATTTTATTTTTAGACTAAGTGTACAGTATCATATTATTATTTATTTTAATTATATTTTACATTTGTTTAACTGCATTTTTTACTATAATATTATCATAATTTTGTATAAGTAACATTTTTTTTTTCTGTTATGTGTTTTACATAGTCATTTGAGTGTGGGAAATGCTAATAAACAAAATATTGTGTACACGGCGACCCGGAACCCTTGCCCGTCCGAGCGTTTCTGGATTCGCGTCGGTACGTCTGTAGCGTATATTATGTACCCACGACTGCGGAAAATCGTCTCGGGGTCAGGAGGGGCGGTCGGATTTGACGTTTTGCAGGGAAGGACGTTTCACCATCGGGTATACAGGGTGATTTTTTTTTTGTCATGATTCGACTTTATTATGTCTACCAAAAACCAAAATTGATTTTGATTTTTTTCTGTATAGTTATATTCTTATATGTTATACAGAATTGTAAATCGTTTAATGATAATATTTACTATTGGTTTCAAAATTGTACCTTTATTCCGAACATCGTATAAACCCGTAGGTGTCGACTTTTGATTCTAAAATAGCGACCTTCTTTTCAAACCACATTTAAAAAGAGAATATTTTTCCATAGAAATATTAATATGCATAACACTATAATATTAGATATACCGTTTGAACATTTAAAAATATAGTGTTAAAACAAAATTTAATAATTTTGTTAGCAATGATTTATCATTGCAAACAAAAAACGATTCTGACCGGAGTTCAGTTGATAGTGATGCTTTGTCATCAATATATATATGTCATATTATGGTAAAATAATTAAATAGGCATTACATATTTTCTTTAATAATATTTGTTTAATATTAATCAGATTTTCCCGTTTTTCTTATGATTTTCTAGGTTTTCACGTGTTTTTTCCCGGTTTTTCACAACTACTAGGATAATTATTGAAAAAATTCAAAAAATGACCTCCTTAAAAAACCTTCCCAGTCAGATTCCTTTTCAGAAAAAGCACTATCCATTGTAAGCTGGAACAAAATTTCTGATAGAAAAGTTGTTCATAGAAAAAAAGAAGTCCGTAATATTTTTTTAACTTAGTAATAATGGGTACCTATGTACATTATTTATTACATTTTCCCGTTTTTCCTCAGTTTTTTTTTTCGGTTTTTCACATTTGATGAGACTCCTGAGGAAATCAAAAAATGACCTTCTTAAAGTACCACCCTAAGAAAATTTCCTTTCAGAAAATATGCTACATTTAAAAATTAGAGCAAGATCTCTAGTAGAAAAAGTGTCCACAGAGAGAAAAAAAAACATTTTTGTAAAACCATAAGCTTCTTTGCTCCATTCAGAATCTAAAACAGAAACAAATGTACGTAAAATCGCCCAGAAAATCACCGAATCGTTGGAAAAAAAAAATCACCCCGTATATATTATACAGTTGCCGGTGTTGGCGGACCGCAAATGTCGGTCGCTGGTTGAATGGGTCACGCGGGGCCAGTGTCGGGAACCGTAATATCGAATACACCTATATATTATATGGGTGTCCGGATGTCCGGTTTTGCAGGATTTCATTTGATAATCAGGATTTTCGTATGCGTTTATATTGTATTTTTCAAACTATTGTACCCTACATACCCGATTCTGTTTCGTATCGTTGCGTTTTAATTAACCATTTTATTTCATTTTATGCGTGTGCGTGTGTGTAATTATCGACCTGCATTGTTTTTACAATATCAATTTAAATAAAAAAATATAGGTAATAAATAATTACAAAGTTTATCGTGAAAACGATCTACCGCAGTGGGACAATGGCCGATTGCCAAAACTGAGCAGTATAATGTACAGAGTTACTTAATACATGATACTTTTGTTTTTTTAGTTATCAAGTTAAGTTAGTAGTTATAACTCTATAGAGGCACAATTATTATACTTATTATAGTTGGAAAATATATTTATTTTTCTTTTATAATATCATTATAAACTCACTATATTTATATGTCTGTATTATAGTATACATTTTCAAGTTAAATACTTGAAACTAAGTATATTATTTCTTATCTGCATTATGAATTATTATGACTAATTATGAGCACGCTGTAATAAATACACGCGTTCTCGTCGAAAAAAAAAAATTACTATTCAAATAAAATTATAAATGCGGTCTTTAATTATTATTTAAAATACGATCAAAAAATGTATATCAGAGCTCTATCATTAGTACAAAGAATTTCCTCCCAGCTAAATTATTGTCGTTAATTTCATGTTTTTTTTTTTTTATTATTCATATGTATAATGATAAGGAATTGAACAAAAAAAGTTTTACTAAAATAGGTGAAGTTGTTCTCGAGATTTTTGCTACACGCATAAATGGTGGGCTCGGGGTTTGTAAGTTCAAACCTTCTAAAGGCACATCAGTGATAATAATTCTATTTATATATACTTATTTCAACCAAGTTATGCTTACTTGCATTAGTCTGTAAGAGTACCTACTTAGAACCTGCTGTTTTCTGTAAAACGTAAAATCTAAGCATAACAATGGTTGGAGAGGGGGTTGAAAGTTGAAACCACCAAAGTCACCAAGCGTATATGATATACAAAATATTATGTACTTGCACAGTGGGCCATATATTAATAAAAATAGACGAAACCGAAAACAAAAAATTATATCGTCGGTTTTATAGCAGATTATATTTGTTTACGTTGTATAGATAATGTTTGTTGCAATATTTGACGATTTCTCCGTCATTTAAAACTTACCTTAGCTTAGTAGTTAGCTTAGTAAGCTAACTAATAAATTATGACGATCGTGCCAAAGTTATTTTCTCATACATTAAATTAAAGTTAAATCTATTTTTAGGAATTAAAAAAAAAATAAATATATTTTTTTTCTTAATAAGCGATGGAAAGTATGCTGTAGAATACGCGATCGTTTTGAACAAATAAACGATAATTTGATTAAAAAAAATTGACAATTTCTTAATATTCCTCCACTAAATACTTCTTCTGGTAGACCTCAAGTGTCATTTTCAGTTCATTTTTCATTGTGTCTCATGATATGTATGTTATAATTTAAATTGGTGATAAAAATAAATAAATTACAATTTTTAATTTGCTAATTTTACTTTATACTTTATACTAGCGCTACTATAGCCTGCAGTTAAAAACATTTAAGATAATAGGTCACACAAATTGTTCTGATTAAAAAATATCACACTCATAACCCTTCAAAAAAGGGTTAAGATATTAAAATTAATATCAAATTTGGATTTTGTGATCTCAAAAACGTATATTTTGATGTATGTAACAATGGTTTTATGTACATTTTTGGGAAATATTAATTTTTATCTGTTTTTTTGGGATTATGGCCTACTGTGCTACAATAATTATGTATTACTGAACTGCGCTCAGAATCGTCTTTCGTCAAGTAATGGTTCTCAATAATGGTCAAGTAATCTTATATATCCTACCTTCCCAACTTCTCACCTACAACAGTGGCCATTCCCATCTCCAGTATCAGCTCCTTTTTTTAAATTAATAAGTATATTTTACTATAAAATAAATTATTAAAGATAATTTTTGTTTTAGGTTTTATTTTATGTGGCAATGTCATGTGGTTCAGTGTGCTTTATAATTTGTGTTAATTATAATAGTTCATTAGATTAATTCTCGTGTTCCTAAAAATTGGGAGAAATTTTGAAGGTTAATGTACAATATAAAATATATTGTCGCCTTTACTTGAATTGCATTACAAATTTTGATGAATGCGAATCGTTCATTACAAAAATAAAGAATGATGAACGGCAATGTATTCCTTTTCAAAAAGAATTGTCTATAAACACTGCATACATTTTACTGTCCGGCTTCCACGACTGCGTGACGAACAATTTACCAGAGGAGGATCCAAAAACATATACACGTATACCCTACGTATATCCTCCCCTATACCCGGCAGGACTTTTCCCTTCGGGTTTTTCTATAATACCTATACTCCGCTGCAGTTTAAAAGAGGTGTGGTGCACGGGTCAAGGACGAAGATTTATCAACGACGACAGTCGTCAACAAAATTAATCGAATTAAGCTCGCCGATCGCTACGCGGTGTAAAAACCATTCGTATGCTTTATTGGATTTTATATACCTACATACACACACATACATATAAATTAAAATCTATGTAGTGGAAAACATATTATAGGTATTTTATTTATTATTTTTATTTTTTTCGACGCAGAAGCAATATAATACGCGTTTCAGACTACCGTTTAAGTGCGCGTCGCTTTTTATATAATTATATTGTGTTCAAATTAAAAATACCTATAATACCGAGTACCGGTGTATAACGAACACCGAAACGCGTATCAACGCACATTATTGTAACTAAATCATAAAAAACAAAACGAACAAATTCAAAAATAATATACAAAATGCAGAACAAACACCATAAAGAAATCCAAACGACAATGCGAAATTTTAAAAACGTTTTTATAACCGCTGACGGACAATAGTGTTATACATGCAACATAATATTATGTATATACATATGTACCTACTTACAAAGGAATTATTACCACTGGTTCACTGCATTCTACCTCACCGTATACACATTACACGGTCATTATAATATTCATCATAATTACAATATTATTTTATGATGCGATGTATAGGTATCTAATTTTCTATTATCTCTAATCTACACCATTAATTAAAAATGTCAATGATATTGATGTCAAAACCCAACCTTTTCTTGACATTCACCTGTTGTATGCGTAGCGCGGTTATCACGGTGATAAACTTACGTGCGTGGGTTGCGTTTGATTAGCAGTTTCGACTCAATATTATGATATGAGTCACTGTTCGTGTTTTAACTCGAGTTGGTAACGTTTTTGTGTAGATGTTCAAAACAGTACAATAGTATAATATATTTTAATGTATAATGTATTATGTACTTATGTATTAGGCGATTTTTAGTAATTCAAAATTGTATATTACACCTATAGTTGACATTATTATGTACAATGTAAATGTCTGTAGTTAATTATTTATGTAGGTATAGTGGGTACCTTTAATATTATCACTGAACGCATGGTAAATTTCATTTTTGCTACATTATTCGTGATGTATACCAGAAAATATTATAACGTACACTGTGTTTGTTCATAATATATCAATGATTAATCAAACTTTTGGGTACATAATATATGCTTTGGAAAGTATTCGAAACATACGTTTTTAGACCCAAAGCTGGGTTTTTTTTATTGTGTGTGTTAACAACTTTTTTACCAGGAATCTTGCTTCAGACAAAAACTGTAATAAGAACTTTCTTTATCATTTTTCATTTCGTTAGTACATTGAGGAGGTGATTTTTTGATTTTCCTTGTGGTTTTTTTGAATAAAAATGGGAAAAATGTTTAGGTTAGCCTAACAACAAACATTATTGATTAGCTAATGTGTAAGAAAGTCGTTTTTTGAATTTTCGTGTAGATTTTGTAACACCTCGTTGAGAAAAATGTAGAAAAGATCGTTAAGTTTACGGGATTAACGGTTTCAGTTTTTTTCGGTTTTGTTTTATTTTTTTTTTTTTTTTTTTTTTAATTCGGTTAAAAATAATCGCAGTTACCTAAAATTTTCACAAACTACTTATATTAACCTTTTCTAGACTTTGGAAAGTTTTGAAAACATTTTAAGACTTTTAAGCTATTTATAAGCATTTGATATTTTCGTTTTTTTTAAAATTTTTATTAATGTAAATAAAATTGTTTAGAAAAACAAAAATACTTGTGCATTTAATGCGAGGTTCATTATAAATTTAACTTGGGGTAAAAAAGTTGAGCATATGTGGTAAGCATAATGTAGTCAATTTTTATAAACGTTTTAAAATCAAATTTTGACGAAAATCTTAAAAATTATTTCAAAACATGTATAACCGTGCCATGGGCGTCCATTAGAGGGTAAGGGGAGGGAACATGGCCCTTTTCTGGTTTTTCCGTGTCTGTTATACATTTATACATAAAATATTATAATTTATAATAAATATATTGAATAAATGAAAAATTGATTATCATATATATTATATAGTACGATTATTTTTACTGATGGTTTCCCATCGGTTGTTTACGACATAATTCAAAAGTCAAAATAGAATAAACGATTAGAAAATATTATTGAAAAAATACACTGTCTCCTTCCTAGATTTTTGAAGATGGACGTTTTTAAACCAAGCTTCGCTCAGAATCATTTTTCGTTACCAATGGTTTATCAATGCATACAGATATTAAATAAATAACTTTATGTATCCTACCTTTCTAACTTCCAGTCTACAACAGTAGCATTTCAGTATCAGCTTTTTTGTATGCAATTATAAATTATTAGATTTTTTTTCCTTATAATTTTAATATGTATCAATTGAAACCACCTAACCTATTGATATAATAAATCTAATTCAGATTATCGGTCGATTACTCGTATAATAATAATAACAATTTAAAATTTAGATTAGATGTATATATAGGTATAGAGATGAGTTTAATTAAAATTCTTATATTTTCGATAAGTACTGTAAAGTGAAATGATAAATGTATTGAATATATTATAGGTGCAGTGATTTAGAAAAAAAAAAAAATAACGAACGTAAATTAATACTGTATTATAAAATAATACTAAAAATTTAAAATCGATAATGGGTAGGTTTTCCGTGTGTATAATCAACTAAAATACATCATATCGTGAAACTTATTTTCTTTTTATAATATTTATATACGAGTATAGAAGTGATTTATTGCGAAGTTTTTATTTAATTTATAAAATTGTTTGTGTCTTAATTAGATATTAAAACCTGAAAATGTAATATATATAATGGTTTTTCAAATATGATGAGATAAGCATACAAGCATAGCTAAGACTTGCGTGGGATAAAGGTTGAAGAGGAAGACGAATAATTTAAAATAATAACTAGTAGCAATAAGTAACATTAGAAAATGTGTAACATAATGTTACTTAATGTAATATCTCTTTTGGTATTTTTCATGTTTTTTCTTCGGTTTCACAACGGTATCAATTTAAAATTCATAAATGTTGGTTATCCGACTTACGCGGTTATAATTTAAGATATAATTCTTATCGTTCATAATTTCATATTCATTGTTAATATATTGATTTAAAAATTATTTAATAGTTTTGTTTACAGCAATTAACTTTTTCAAATTATTAAATATTTTATAAACATTTTGTAAACAACTAAACAATGCATTATATAGGCTCAGAATAATATTAGTGTTCTACAAAATATGTAACCTACTTGTCCTACTTAATGATTTGTCATTGCTTGAAAATGTAATCTATGTAAGCAAAAAAGAAAATGAGTGCCCGATATTTAATATTTATGTCTTGTTCTTGTGTTTTTTTTTTTTGTACCTACCTAAAATAACCTTTCGGTCTAAATATTAATAGGTATTTATAACGTTTAAATAAATGTACCCAAGGCCGTATTTTGGGGATGGAGGAGGTTTGGGTTCAAATTACTAAATCGATAATTTAATTTTAAAATTTTTTGGGGAATTTTATCCCCAAAATTTGTTCCAGCTACGGCCTTGAGTGTACCTTAACAAAATAAAGGTATCGACATTTTAAGAAATTTTAAAACACAAAAGCGTGTGAAAATTCAAGTACCTAATAATTTGACGAATATAAGAGATAAGTTTAAAATCAGAAATGTTTCTTGAAATATTGTTCTATTTCAGATAAAAAAAAAAAAATTAAATCATAATATTATTATAATAACTATCTATATTTGTATTGTACTGATCACTACCGATAATTTCATGGAGTGTATTTTACATATTATAATACAACATCTTGTGTTTGAAAATTAATATTTTTATAAGTATTTTTGCGAATGTTCCTACATTACTTTTATTTTTGTTTTTTTTTCAGTCTTTCTTCTATGAATAAATTCTTTACAATATTATATGTGCATAATATATATTAACAGAGCTGTAGACACACTTAACATATATTATAACAATGCAGTGTTATATAGCTAAAAAGAAAAATAAATAAACTCATACAATGTTTTTTACCACGTTGTGACCTTTAAATATATCATCCACCAGATTTTACTTAGTATTATTTTCAGTTTTTTCCTCGCCATTAAAAAAAATATTTTACAAAAACGAATTTTATAATGTATTATAGCGATTGTATATTTCTTTATAAGTAAACAAACCTAAACCGTACACGCAAATTACAATATTATTGTAGTATTTTACACTTGGCTGAACACCGAACACCGAACGTGTGCAATGGGCGAGAGGGAAGTTTTTGAAACCGGGCGTGTTTTTTAAATTATCGGAAAACTTGGCGTGCAGATAGGTATGCACGAGAGCGAAAAGTTTTAGTGTACCTACGCACCAATGAGCACTATATTTTTAATATTTTTATTTATTTCAATTATTATTATTATTATTACTTTACTGTTGCAGAAGTATTCCGAGCTAAACACAAAAAAAAAAAAAAAATACCGTGACGCAAATACTTTTTTTTTTCTAACAATTTACCGCATAACTTTTAAAATAGTAACGACATCTATTGGTGCATTTGTTAGACAATGGACAATACATTATAATTATTTAATATGTGATGCGAATTCATACTGGCGCACGCAAGTAAACGAAACACAGTTTTATTAAGTTTTTATGACATTACCTAACCTAACCTAACCTTATGTGACATTTTTCGATGATAAAACACCTAGTGAACAATTTATAAATATTTCGACAACAGACTGATCAATGTTTATTGAAATATTAATTTTAGTTAGTTATAGAAAAATCAAAAAATATATAACATTATTTATTTATATCTCCGACAACGAGTTGAATATATATAAAATTGTAAAATTCCATTCTCGTTAATGGAATTTTAGGTTAGTCTTCAACATGTTGTCATTTACAAATGATTGTAATTAGTGTTTTGTCCCTAAAGCTGATTTCAGATGATTTTTTTGTTTGTTTTACATAAATATATTTTTTATTACTCGTTAAAAAAAATAACTATAGAGATGGCACATATGCCACTGTGATGGTCTTTTAAGATTTAATTTAACGTCATCTGTATTACTGTTAAAATATTATAATTCTAAACAATAATCGGTCACGGTTTTGTAAATCGAACGTACTGTCATTTATAATAATTATAATATATGTACACTGTTCAGCATCATCTAACCAATTAAGCTGTTTTTTAAGCGATTAAAAGGGAGGGGACGCTAACTCCGATGTTCGCCAACCTCTCGACTAAATACCTTTATTACGAGTACAATATTATTATTTTTAGAACACGTCATACTTATTGTGTGTTTTTGCTATTTCGAGTAGAAAATTTAATACATTTAACTTTTGTTTTTATTTGATGCAGCTTTTGAGTTTTCGAAAAAACAGAATGTATTTGATTAATAATATTTGTCTGCGTATACAAGTTATATGCCTTCGATTTATTATGAAAATAATAATATTCACTCATCAACTTATTATTCGTGGGCTAGTTAAAAACCAACGAAACATTTCGACATTATTATACAATAATGATCCGCAGTAAGGTATACATTAGAAATATTGATATTTTCGATAATCCTAAAAAATCTAACCAAATAATAATATAGTTTATAATGTTTTCATGTGTATATTATTCTAATAGAGTATTCGAAAATTTAAAAAAAAATGATATCGATAAGTGATAATAACCAGTGACATACGCAGGAGAGGAGTTAGGGGTAATGTCCCCTCTCCCCATTATTTTCAAAATATGACAACTATAACTATTCATTTACTAAATTATATCTTGAAATGTATTTATTTCAACTAAATTGTACAAGGAAGAGCTTAATTTCTTGTTTAAAAATGTACTATTTTGGATCCGGGTTTTAGTTTCCATATTGTAAAATTGGTCAGAGAAAAAAATTCTATGATTCATTTACGATTATTATTTGATACACCTTCCCCCATCAAATATTCCTAAGGATTCCACTAAGTAAATAACCGTCAATTTTCACAATTTATCACCTTGAAAGCTGTACACCAATATACCACACAAAGCAAATTTTAAAAATGGTCCTAATACTTATACTACTTAATATGGTTGTGACATTTCACCAAAATGTTTAAAATGTAAATAAAACCTCGTAAGTATACCCTACGCATACATATTACAATCATACAAAGAACTACCTACACACAATCGCAAAACAATATTCATTTGAAAATATATTATAATAAATAATTAAAGTTTAAATGTAAAATTTGATACAAAAGATATAAAGCTACCTAACAACAGGAATAACTAAATTTACGAGATTGGAAATCATGTAATGCTATGTGAAGCACTTTTGCACGGTCGTTAAAAGTTTCTTATAGAAGTTGACTTAAAATTAAAATATATATATAATGAAGTTGAATAACGTCTACATATTATAGATATAAGGTCAATCAATATTAACACAATAAGCAGAATGTGTAGGTTATCATTTTATTACATAAGGATATAAACAATTGTGTGATAAAAGAGGTTTTGAGAGGCCATGGTCTTTGAATGTCCTTTCAACTGAGGTGGGTGAGAAGGTTAGTTTAGCCCCAAGCCCCACTATTTGGACCAATGCTGTTTATAAAATATATATCTGTTGCTTTCATTATTTGAATGTTGTATTTAAATCATCAAGTTTTAAATCGTTAAAGTATATACCAGCATCATATCTTTGGTCACGGGGAAGGAGAATCACTTTTATATAGTTTTCAATAGAATCAAATTAAATTCTGGAAATTGCTAAATGGCCCTACCTAAATAGACCGTTCTAAATGGTTTCTTTTCTTTTCGTGTAAACTGTAACTCTTTTATCACGCCATCTGTTTCTTTCATGAACTATTTCTGTCCATTCATTCACTGCAATAGTTCTCAAATCCTCTTCGATCATATCAATATTTAATATAGCTTTTCTTAAGCCTATAACGAGGCCTTTTCCCTAGGATTTCTATTCTAATTCCTCTCTTACGAGATCTTTATCTCCTCTTCCAATATTGGCAGCGTTTCTTTTAAAATGGAGTAAGTTCCCGTTACTCGTTTCTGTTATAAAAAAGAAAAAATGATAATATTTAGAGACATCGTTTATATTGCTGTTGTCTGAGCATACAACTGCGGGTTTTGCATTATTGTATTATGTACCTCGTATATTAATAAAAATGAAGAAATAATATATTATGTCAGTATGGTAATTTATTAGGAAGTAACTGACAAAGTGATACCAACACTTAGTGTCGGCCCTATAGATTCGGGACCCGGTGTAGAATTTTGCGGGGCCCCATATATGTTTACATAAATATATTTATATTTATTTATTTTATTTTCTAACGGACTTACCTTATTTTCATATAATTTTATAAACTTTAAGGTCTTGTTAGAAATTT